ACTCACTCTCAGTCAATTTATATTAAGATTAACTCATGCACAAAGCATACACATGCAAAATAAACTAATCAAAGCAATACAACACATAAGAACTCATGAGCTACTCCTATTACACATCATGATATTCATATCTTCCTTTCTTGACTGGTTTATGCTTGATTTATTGTGTATTAACGTTGGGGTAGAGGGTGTCACACTTAGTCTTATGATTTGTTATGTGAGACTTTCCAACTATGTGTTTGAGATATGGTGTGATAAGATTTCTGTGCCTATGATTTATGTGCATGATGCGACTTAAGTAGTGACTATTAGGAGCATGAAAACAAAATTATACTTGGTCATATTAAGAAATTTAGATGGTGGTCTAACCAAGTGAAAGTTTAGGTTTTACCTAACAACATGTTATGCATGTTATCCATCTTGTGTGTTGTGTTGTCGTGATTGAGTCCGTGTATTCATACATAGTTTGTTTTGAGGTAGATATGAGTCTATATGGGAGGGTTTGTAGTCCTTTACCTTGGCCTCAAGGGAGCTATAGTGAGAAACCTCTCATTTATGAGTAGAATGAGGGGCAACCATGTGCAACTCTAGTACTATGACTAACTCCTAATAGATTTTCGTTTTAGTGAGAGTGGACCACGTGTTGATTACCTATTGTGGAAATCATTTTTTTGTCCATGTTCTCCTTGACTATGCCATACGCATGTGTTTTAATGCAACTTGAGATCAGTACCACATGCATATAAAAATAAGAGAATAAGAGTACATGTGTCTTGTGTATTGAGTTATGATAAGTGTAATTGTGCTTGAGATTTAGCGATCGAATTTTGATCAATCTCTATCACAGCAATTGGAAATAAGTCAATTGTTAGGTTAAACATCACTTGGTTGCTAATTAGTCACTAAAGGATAAGTAAATAAAATTTTAAAATAAAATTACATTGCGATGGATATAACATTTAATTTGTTGGCATTAATTAAAAATATTTGAGCAACCAATTTGTTGCCACTAAAAGTATCTGGTTGCTAAATATTAATAGTATCCAAGCCAACGTCAATAGCTAACAGTGACTAAATATTTTTCGTCCCTAAATTTGATGGCTATTTCAACATTTTCTAGTAGCTAGTGCAATGTATTTGGGCTTGAGATGTCATTCATGATGTACACTATGTACTACATGCATGGCTTCTTTATATATGTCCTAACTTGTATAAGACATATTTTCACTCCTTTATTTCTTATTGTTTGTCATTGTATGGGTTGAACATCATTTTCACTCCTTTAGGATTTTATTTTATTGTTAGGTTGCTCTAATATATTGTGACATTGAAGTAGTGATATTGGTTATTAGTGTTTATATTTTATCAACTCATGTTAGTTTTCAAGAATCCTACTACAAAGGTCATTTTAGTGCCTTAAAATATGTTATTTTAGAACTAATATTAATTTGCTCATATTTATTATATGGTCGAGCTTTATTAAGAAAAGATCGAGATGTGAGTCTTTTGTCCATGAGTTTGAATTTATTACTTATAATTGCAATGTTTTATTATTATATTAAAATTAAAGTGATTTGGAGTAAAAAGGTGTCATAGGTAGGGATGGAAATAGGATAGGTTAGGTTAAGCTAGGCTTTGAATATATAGATTAGGTATCTTCTGCAAAATTAAAGCCTAAACCTGACCTATTATATATCATAGGCTTTTTTAATAGGCCTGAGCTAACTACCTAACTTATTAACCTATTTAAAAGTATTTAAATTATTAATGTTAATTAGGCTAATAAGCTTAATTTTTTAAAATAAAAAAATTTATTTTTAAAATATAGTTTATTCAATATTTATTAAAATTTATATTTTAAAAGAAATATAGAAAAGAAAATTGAATCATTTTCTATTGAAGGAACAATTCATGTGTAACCATGTATGTTAATATACACTCGTGAACAGACCATAAGCTTATAAACCTATAATGAAAAAAAAAAAATTGTATAAAAAGGGGCTTATGTCTGCTCAGAAAAAAAATATCTACTTGTACAAAATTCACTTTTGAAAAGTTCTCCAAGATTCACCCAAGATCCTCATCTTCCTCTTAGTGCTTTTCCGGCCACCCATGCTTAGGCATGGTGGACAATTTTTTTCCTTGGCCTTGTGTGGCCAACATTTCCCCATCAATCTCTCTTAAGCCACCATCAAAACTGTCTTTTGGCAAGGTTGTGACCACAAACTTGGCTACTCCATGTATCACCTCCTTCCCTAAGCCATGTTGGAAGGGAGACTCTATTACCATTAAGATTCCGGAAGACGCCTATCAAGAAGGTCTCTCTCGTTGCACCAACCATCTCCATGGTAGAGTCTTCTTGGTCAAGGATCAAAAGCCTTTGAAGTTTCTTGAGTTAAAAGCCAAACTTGCTCGGTTATGGACACATTTTGTTGGCTGGAAAATCATATCTCTTGAACGAGGGTTCTTTGAGTTTGAATTCCAGCACAACAAGGATCTTGGAACAGTTCTTGCAGCTGACCTATGGAATTTGGAACCTGGATTACTTAGACTTTCACTTTGGAAACTGGATTTCAATCCAAGAAACTTCAAGAACTCCCTTGCACAAGTGTGGCTGCGGATATATGAATTACCTCAAGAATATTGGTGTACTAGGATCATTCTTGCCATTACTTCGGGTGTAGGCACTCTTATTGCACTAGATCAAGCAACGGTACAAAGATCCTATGGCCACTTTGCACGTGTATTAGTTGAAGTTAATCTGGCTGACTCAATCTCGAACCACTTGTTGGTTGAGAGGGAAGGCTTTGCGTTTTGTGTAAAATTAGATTTTGATAGGCTTCCTGCCTATTGTTCATTATGTAACTGCATCGGTCATGAAAATTCTTCTTGTAATAACCAAAAATCTACAGATGCAGATGAAGCACTCAGAAAATCAAAACCGATTGGTAGTGGCGCTCCTCAAAGAAATTTAGTAGCTGGTGCAGGATCAATTGATGCTAATCCAGTTGGCAACCAAAATGTGGCTGATGGTTTGATCACCACAAAGGTGACTGAAAACACTAATGTTGGCCAACAAGTAGGTGAACTAGTTGCATCACTGAAAAAGAAGAAGAAGCTGGCTGGAGGAATGGCTGAGGCACCTGGGTCAGCAGCTGATTTGGTGCAGCATGTAGCAGCTGGTGCTGGCTCATTTGCTGCTAATCTGTTTGGTGCAATGGATGGAGCTGTTGCATCTACATCGTTTGCAGATATTGGTGCACCGTCTGCAACTCCTGAGATTACAGCACATGATCAAAAACTGATCAAGGTCAAGGAATCACAAGCAGCAGTACCAGCTGCTGAACGAGCTGCTGCCATGACCACAAAATTTGGTGTAGCAGCTACTGCAATTCCGTTGAGTATAGCTACTGATCCGGCTGCAACTATGGTAAGTCATCATGATGACAATTCTCTAGAAGGCATGCCATCTTTGGAAGACATCTCAAATGATCCAAATCAGCTTTGCTCGGATGAGGCTCATAGTTCTAGTGTCGAGGCTGATGCTGCAGCTGGTGCAATTGTGACTGTTGGTGTTGTAGCTGTGATTGGCAATGTGAAGGAAGCAGCTAAGGTACGTCAAGCTGGTGTAGCAGGTCAATTTGTGGACTGCAATGTGGAAGCATCAATCGAGTTAGATGTGGCAAGTAAAGTTGGTTCAGCTAAATTTGGTCACAGACCCAGGAATACCAAATTTGCTGTAAAAACTTTGCATGGTGCAGATGCAGACTTAGAGTTGGATAGTCCACCCTTGGCCAGGGGCAGGCAAACTTACGTTGAATATTAATTAAGATCTAAAGCAAGGGTAGGCAAATTCGCTAAATTCTCTTAATGTATTTGGAGATTTAGGGGGGTAAGTTGATGGTATAGAGTTTGCCTGATATGGTTTCAGAATATGTCTCTTGATTGGCATTTTTTTGTAACTTTGTGTTGGGATTCATCCCAAGTCCCACATCTGTAAAATAAAGGAACATTGGCTAGTTTATAAGGGTGTCCACCATTCCAGATAGTTTGAGGCCTTTTGGGAAGGAGCCCAAAAATAAAACCGTGCGGGCCTAGCCCAAAACGGACAATATCATACTATGGTGGACCAACAGGTGGACTATCAGGACCAACAAGTGGTATCAGAGCTTCGTCTGGGTTTGATGCGGGAAGACCCTCAGTGTTGTGCCTCGCGATGGAGATCCGAACTTGGTCTGAGGGGAGGTTTGTTGGGATTCATCCCAAGTTCCATATAGTTTGAGGCCTTTTGGGAAGGAGCCCAAAAACAAAACCGTGCGGGCCTAGCCCAAAACGGACAATATCATATTATGGTGGACTAACAGGTGGACTATCGGGACCAACACTTTGTTTTCTTTTTCTTCCTTAGGTGGGTTTTGGTTTGGTCCCCCACCTTGTACTTTTACTTTTTCTTACTAATTTTAGCACTTCTGATGTGAAGCACATGATTGATGGAGAGCGGAGTGCTAACTTAGTTAGGATCTCTCTCTTCATAGTAATGCTATACCACTATATATATATATATATATTATTATTTTATATAAATAGGTTAATCTATCAAGTTAAACAGATTTTTCTCTAAGTTTAAGTCTAACTTTTTTATATAAATAAACTTTTTTTTAAAAGTTTAAACTTAACATTTTTATTAAAAAGATTAATTCTAACTAAATTTTAAAAAAATAGGTTATAAGTCTCTATTTAAGGTCTCATCTATTCTCATTCATAGTCACAAATAACATTCATTTATTACTCATGTGTTTAATAAAATATTAAGTTACCATTTTATGACATTCACCGGTATTTATCGTACCATGTCATCAACTTGAAATACTACTATATTTTTCTAAATCTCTAAAATAATGTTCTTTAGTTACAAAATAAATTTCAGATACTAAAAATTAGTGATTTCATACTAAAATAATTTTTTTTTTTTTAGAGAGAGAGGTTTGGACAAGAAATACCTGGCCGAAGCAGAAAACAGGAACAAGGGGAAGGCCCATCTCCAATGCTATGCGGACAAATCCTCTTCTTTCTTTAAGAAAAACATTCTACAAAATGTATACTTATTATTATACTATTAAACCACTACTCAGGTGTTTTCTTTCTTTTTTTTTTTTTTTTGGAAAACCCTATGTTTCCTACCTTTACAAACACTATAAACATTTAATCCCGTCCAAAACAAAAGGTCAAAAAAAATCTCATTTGAAAAAATATCTATCAAGATTAGTCACTAAAATATTAATTAATTGATGAAATTTCATAACATTTATATTTTGTGATTAAACAATATGATAAAATCGTAGTACATGGACAAGAGGGGCAGATATTTTAGGTTGAAAGTTTGGTATTATTTGTTCAACAAATGTGATACAAATTTGCTTTTGTTAATTCATGATTAGCTATATATAATTTACAATGTTATCTACACTCTTTGTATTCTAGGTCTTGGAGAAATTACTAATTTTTGCCAACTAGAAACACAACACAAAAATGTTGTTGGCTTGTCAATTTGAAGGAAATACAATAAGATGGAAGTTTATGTTTTTCATTTCATAATCTAAATAGTTAGCCATGAAATATGGAACTCGAAAGAAAAAAAGAATTAATAACGTGTTTTCGAAATATATACACAACTTCTGAAATCAACCACATGCCACTTGCAGAGGGCAATTGTGCCCAACTGATTACAATTTCAAAGTGACTACCCCAACATAATATGGCTTAAATATTTTTTATCCACGAAATATACACGTTTTTCATTTTTTTCCCTAAATTTTTTTACTTTTTTTATCCTAATAATTTGTGTAGTTCCTACCATCACTTTTTTAATGTTTTAGATGACACATCAATTAACTTAAATTCACTTAAACAATATCTTAATATTTAACACGTCATTCAACACAATGAAAAAAAAGACACAATGAAACTAAAAAATAGATATTGGGATCAAAAGTTGAAGAAAAAAAAATTAGATACCAAAAATATTGAGCAAAAATATACTATATATTTACTAAACTAATATAATATTTATTAACTTGGCCTATTAATTATCCTTGTCTGCTTGGTAATTAGTGAACCTTTTCAGTTATCAATAAAAAAATAAATAATTGGGTAAGTTACTTTTTATTTATTTATTTATTTATACTTGAAAGTATATTAAGCATTGATACATTATTTTTTCTTTAATACAATGGTTGCACCGAAGTTAAAATATATGATTTCATGCATATTATCTAAATACTTCCTCATTGACTTTCATGATTTTCACATTGGTTCCTAAAAGTAAAAGAATTTCAAATAATTTATGAAATTTTCAATTATTTCATTAAAGTTATAGAATTTAATCATTTTCTATCATTTTAATCCTTAATCACATATTAACATTATTATCTAAAAAAAGGGTAATTTTGAATGAACTTTTATGATTAAAAAAAGAAACTTTTAGGCAATTTTATCTTTAATAATAAGGTTTTAGGTTATAGATGGTTGAATAATATATTCCCCTGCAAAATATGAAGGTGGAGTAGGATGGAGAAAATAAATAGATTATACCTCACAACCAGGCTCCATAAAAAGTGTTTCTCGAATTCCACCAGGTACTACAATGCAACTATACCCAGCTGCCAACGATGAAATGAAATTTTTCTTTGACACTGATGTAAATCCCAACCATGTCCATGTGTGTCTCATAAATGGTATGTAGAATATCTATACATATAGTGTGATGAGAGGCAATTACAATTCAATCCTAGTTAGCTGTCATTATATATAAATAAATAAATATATATATATATATATATGATTTAACCAATAATAAAATCTTTTAATTCAATAGTTGTAAGGTTCAAATTTGATTATATATGATAATAATTTGAGGTGACTCTACAAATAAAAAAATTATAAAAAAATGTTATATTTCACAAAGTATAAACAAATTTTAAGTCCTAAGGACTAAATTACAAAAAAAGGATGTATGACTTGATTACAAATACTTTTAGTTTAGAGACCTAATTTTTTTTTCAAAAACTTCATAAACCAAACAATGTGTTAAAGTTTTAATCAAATACAACATATTTTATTACATTAAAAAAAAAATAACGATGTTAAAAAATTTAAAATAGATATACTAATATATTTTTATTCAATTTACTTTTATACAACAATTTATTATAAAATATTATATAATTTTAAGGACCAAAAGTAATGCATCTTCAAATTAAAAGGACAAAAATAAATTAAAAGACTAAAACCAAGTTTAAATTTTTTTAGAGAAATCAAAAATATAATTTACTATTTTATAAATGTAATACATTAAAAAATTAACAATAAAAATAACAAGACATTATAATTGTATCACTTTATATTTTAAATATAAA